CTTCCTTCAAAGAGAGAATGATCATCTGGAAAACTGTCCAGGGTTTTTGTGGAGCCCAAAGAGATAAAAGTTCCCTACCGAACACTCAGAGGCCTCAAAACTTTGGAGAAAGTTTACAGAAAAGAACAGCCTTCTCTTGCCAAAACCAAAGACAATACTTCATACAATCCGCAACAGCTTCTCAGTGAAATCTGAAGTGCCAATATCTGCTTCCGTTACATATTTATGCATTATGAGCTATGACCCCTTCATATCAATGAATGATATGAAGCAGGTAAGCCTGTAGCAGAATTGGATAAAAAAAAAATACTGGAGTATTCCTGATACAGTCAGACCAGCAGGAAAAATGTTTTGCAGGGAATTAATACAACTTTGGTAGCAAACCAGCTCTCTCTCTGCTTCTACTTTGAAGTGCCTTATGCTTCTTAATTCCTGTGCAAGCACTGCTGTAGAGGCAGAAGCACACCTGAAGAGTATTAAGATGCTCATTTAGGTAAAAAACAAATGACACAACAAGGAGGTTCCAGTTACTTTCTCTGCTATCAAGCATAGTAGGCAAGTGATGACACAGACTGTGTTCCTAGCTCTCCTTCAGCCCTTCACTTCTCTTCCACCCACCCCTGCAATACAAGCATTAAGAGACACATCTAGTCTCTTAACATCCTCTGCAATGTTCCCCTGTGAGAAGAAATCATAGGAGGAAGCAGGATCTATATCAGATGGTGAATCAACGTGGCTTTACTGTCCACACCAGTAAGGAACATGCTGACAGATTTGCAATCAGCATTGTCTTCACTGTTTTCTCCTCAAACACTTCTCAGAAGTTTCTAATTGCATAAAGGTGGTGAGCACAAAGCTATTTTTAAAAGGCGCTTCTCTCAGCATAGTTCCCAGGCTGTGGAAACCCTGCCATTTCCCACAGAGTCTCTGCAAGTACAGTCCTTCTGGAATGCACTACTTACTTAAATGATGAGACCATCTGATCCATCTATCCTCTACTTGCCAAAAGGCCTAATCCCGGTCTCAGAAGGGATTTCTTCTTCCCGGCTGAACAAGGCTTATTCATCCACGGAACTGGGAACTTCCCAGTGCCAGTTCATCACAGCAAGCAGGAAAAGGAGTGAGGCTGGTCATTTCTACTGCAAATCAGTCAAGATTTCAAGCCCATTTTTTCCATCATCTGCTCATATACAGTCCAGGCCATTGCTGCCATCAGAGTACGCCTTAGAGCCCGGGGCACACCACCTCGGAAAAAGCCGACCAACCCAAAGTCCTGCAATAGGAGATAAACAAACAGCAGTCCATCACCTTCTGCCTCCAACATTTTAATTCCTCCCCATTTATTCCACGGAGTAGCTATTTCAGCTCAGACCCAGACTCATCTCCAAAAGATCCAGGCTCAAACAGCATTTAATAACCCTTAAGGAGAACCTGTAGCACTGTGCAATTGCAGTGCTACTTGCTGAAAGAAGAAGAGCAGTGAGTGGGGAAGGGTATGCCAAGATGACAAAGGACAGGGAAGACCTCATTCAAGCCAAACAAAGAGGAGATCAGAGACTAACAATTCCAAGCCACTTTAGGAAAATGACTTGTCCTTGCTTCCAGCAAGGCCTGCACCTCAGGATCTTAGCGTGGAGATGGTGGAAGGCCTGGTTTTGAAAGGCTTGGACCTGCACTTAATTAATACAATAAACTAATATGCCCACATGGGTGAAAGAGATATGCATCACAGTAGCTGTCCTTCCAAGGAAAGGTGAGTTTGGAGTAGATCTCCACCCAGTTCCTTGAATACAGATCTGGACACTCATTTCCCTTCTAGCGTCCAAAGGTCAAAGAATTTTTTTGTAACTGTTTTCTCTTTGAAACTGGCATTTCATGCCACATACTAAAGAAACCTTCTTTGCCTCAGCGTGGTAATCACAGATGTGGCTACACTGATAAACCAGAGGGGTGGCAGCAGCTGTAAGCTGGATGCAAACAGCTCGTACAAGCTTACATGCTCATACAGTTGAAATAACCTAAGTGCTTTCCATCACTAGCAGTGTAAGTCAAGGTGGAAAGGACAGAACTGACAAGAAGTCATACATCAACCTGGAATATGAGGCAGGTTTGTCTGGAGATTTGCCTGCTAGAACATGCCCACCTTTGTGCTCCCGCACTCTGAGCTTGCTCAGCAATTCCTCCATGACCCACCTCAGTTTCACGCTAACACCAATTAGCTTGACTGCAAGAGCGTGTCTAGCACAGTCATATTTGTTTGCCTACTTTAAAAGGCAATAACTTTCTTAGCTGTACTTCTGGAAACAGGATGGCACATGAGGCTGTGATCAAATATATTAGAAGAGATTCATCTCACCTTGTAGATGAAGGCAATCGCTTGGGTCGTCCTGTGGTACTTTTGCGGGGACAACTGCATATGTGTTTTGATGACATCAGCAGGCTGTGTTGCAAGTGAAGCCAAGATTCCTGCAAAGATCCCACAGCCAAAATTCAGCAGGGGCACGAGTGCTGGATCCAGCTGATCTGCCGGAGAGCAAAAGGAATTCACTCAGACACAAAGCAATGTGGTAACACTCATGCTGACAACAAAGTGAAAAGCTACGAAATGACCATATCGACAGCAGAGTTTGAGAGGACTTAAAATCTAGGCAGGGCAGAGAAGACTTTTCAGGAGGAAAAGTGACTACAAGTTAAAAGGTAGCACTGTTAACAAGACTCCCGGCCAAAGTACTGAATTTGACTGGAACTCAGAGAAGGAAAGGTTGTATGAGTCTTGCTCCAGGCCGTTGTACTAATTCTAATATCACAGAAACCCCATTTTAGTGGAAACTACCCAGCATACAAGACAACCAGCAGCAGACAGTACCACTGAACATAGCTTCTCAACTCTTCACTAACCCACCTTATGCATCAGACCCCCCATGAAAGATAATTAATAATAGACCAATTTCCATTTCTGGATTGATCCAGGCCTACAGTGTTGCACACGTAAAAGGCCAATGCCCCACCTAAAATCCTACAAGAGACTAATTTAACTACTGAGGTAGAGGCCTGTAAGTGCAGCATGCAGACAGTTTACTGCAGGGCAAGAAGAACATTTTCCTTTACATCACCTTACATTCAGCCTTACCCTGAGGGGTAAGTTTTTTGGTCTGCATGTAGAACATTAGGTAGATGCCAGAGAAAGGAGCATCCCGCAGCAGTGTTGCGGTGAGCCCGCTGAACATGCCACGAGCCCCCTCTGTTTGATATATATTCTTCAGAGCTCCATATACACTTCCATAGCCAAATCTTCCGCTCTGCAAAGGTAGACAAAAGACATCTATGTGCCAGGCATAGGCCAACAAGTTCTCTACACCCCCGAGGCCATGGTGTCCAAACAGACGTTACTACACACTCCATGTGATGGCTGAGACGGCAGTATAAAAGATGTCCCAAGACCACAACTGAGTTCCAGTCTACCTCAGCCTTTAAAACAATCTTTCAAGAAGGAAAAATATGAAGGATGCTATAATTAGATAGGCATTGCATAAAAACGAAACTTACAAAATCTCAGGGTGAAATCTGTCCCGTCTTATATTGCCTAAAAATCAGTGGCGTGGCATGACGTTTTCTATATAATGTGTGAACCAGGATGAAATCAGAACTACAATCCCCAGTCTACCTCAGTGCCAGGAACGTGCAGTTTTGCTACAGCGCAAGGTGAACTTCTGACATGCCTTAGAACATATCTGCTTTTTTACTGCAACTTCTTCTCCATCCACTTCCTCTGGAAAGTCCTTAGCACTGGTTCCAATAGATAGCTGAGCTTGCTGTCTCCAGAGCGTTGTTTCCCAGTAAAAGTAGTTCTCGTTCCCAATGAGGGAAACCTCATTACCCACTAAACCATTACCACACTAAGTAGAAGTCATGGTAAGTTAAAATAACATATACTGTTACCAAGACAACAAAAAAACACTGCAAATCAAAGGCAACAGCCTAAGATGTTTCTGTCTGCTCACCTGTGCTGGGAGGGCACTATACTTAAAAAATAACAAGCAGGATCTTTCTCCAAGAAAGCAGACCATTTCCATGACATCATATCACACATCAGTATAGCTAATCATAGACTGTCTATCTCGATTAGTCGTTCTTGGTGTTTCCACACAAGCGAAACTTTTTTTCATAATGGGAAAGGGTGTGACATCATAAACAGGGAACTAATTAGAAAGCTCTTGAAGTCCCACTCACCTCGTATCGGGTCTTCACTACAGTCACTGGTAGCATGCAAATCCCAGCTACTGCACGGGAGGTGGCACCCAGAAAGACAGACTCCAGGGCTGTGGGCAAACGATCCACTAGAAACTTTTGCTTCAGTGTGTACAAAGTGCTGAAGTAAATCCCAACTCCAGGAATGCATCTTGCAAAAGACTTCAGAAGAAACAGAAGCAGATGAAGAAAGAAAAAGCACGTGTGAGAAAAAAATGTACTACAGAACTTTACAGAGACTATTAGACTTAACAGGAAGCTTTGCATGAGAAAAAAAGAGAGCACTAAAGGTATCATGCTAAGGAAAGAAGACAAGATAGATTAAAAAATACACCACAGAATTAACCAATGGGTTGAAATGATGCCAGGATTTAATGCATTCCTCACTTCCAGTTTTCTAACAACAAGCATATTCCAGATGAAAACGAGGTTGGTGCAGCTGCCGCTCCAGATTTGCAAAGGTATTCAAATGTTCAACTGCTCGGTACTGCAAATGCAGTGACCACTATGACCAAATCAGTGGAACTTATGATATTAACTCCTTAAAAGGGGATTTAACCATCTTAATCACATGGTTTCATTCATAATTTTACAAGAGCTGCCCATTTAAATCTAGCCTATAGTTAGTAATGAATAGTAGATTTATTTATGTATTTATTTTTAGAAAGCAGGGTTAAAACAGCCACTTACTGGAGAGACACCTTTCCAGAGCCCTAGGAGACTCTCTGTACGAACAACCCTAAAGAGCAGTGTTACCATGCCAACACGACTGGACCTGAAAAGAAGACAAGAAACAAGGACTATAGGGATGATCTGTTTCTGCTCTCTGGCAGGCACACTTTACAGCCACCCCACCTTCCACTGGTATAACTGTGCATTAGCCACAGCACCTCAGAGGTCTTCTGTCTCCTCTCAGCCTGCTTTCTTTGGTCATCCTGCCCAGTGCTTCACTGCAACATCCCGCTTATCCATCACTTGTGACACAAGGTAGAGGCATCTCTCAGTAGCATTTCTGATTGCTCCATTTATTAACAACACCTGGTGTTGTCATGGTTGACTGCACCAGGCAAATGGAAGCAGTTGTATGCATGTGAAAAGGTTACATGGCAGTCGCACACTATTTTTTAGACTGTAGTGGACACCCAGTTAAACTGCTGGGCACCCACTCCAGCAAACATGGAGCTCTCAGATAAGCACCAACAGCTGCTGTGGCTACGGTAGAGTTCACAGAAACTACTATCTTCTCTCCTTTAGGGCAAAATACTGAATCTTCTCCATGTTATAAAAACATACCTCTGTTTCAGAAAGACTCTCAGCATCTGAGTTACACCCCTGAACTCTAAGGCCTGGCCAGGAAACCAAGAAGAAGTCTATGATGTAGCATGCACTCACCCCCTCCCTACCTCACCTACACTTACCCACTCACAGAAGGCTGCAGAGTCTGAAGGCGAGTTTTCAGCAGGTCGAGGGGCTGGAACAGGAGGGTGGAGCAAGTCCCACTGATGGAACCACACACAAAGGCCTTTAGGACTGGATGCATCTGGAAGAGGAAGAATAAGGCTTTAATACTGAAGTGGCTATTTATTTGATTACAAGTGGCATCAGAGGAAATAAACCAGTTGATATGCCACATACCATAAGAAAAGAACAAGAGACTGTCCCAAACACTGAGTATACCTGCTCATATAGGAAACAGTGTCACAGATCTTTTCAGAGACTAATCAAGCTTTGAGTTTTTTGTTCCCTCTGCCTTTCCTGTGAGGTTGTTCCAGAATCTCCTTGTATTTTAATGGCTGGAAAGAGTCTTCTGAATGTAAAACTTAAAAACAATAGCAGCCCTTTGTTAACTATTTGTTCTTCTGTCAAGAAGAATACATGCATATTCTCATGCATATTCTCATGCATATTCTCATGCATATTGGAGGGAATCTGCATCTGCTTCCTACCGTCCCACAAACTATCTGTGCTTTAGCTGTGATTCAGTCTGCTTCTGTTCAGCATTCTGCTTGCAAGTCTCCCCTTGCCTGATCCACAGACCAAAGTTTCCTAACCACCATGGAAACAAGTGAGATTCTCCCGCAAAACCTGACTTTTCAGTCAGAAAGATGTGTTCCTCCCCACTGTCCACCCAAACATAGCTCAAGCAAGCTCAAAGCAAGCCGCTGCCAGGTCAGCTAAGATCTGTTTTTCTTATCCACATGCTCTGTCATCTCTCAGGAGTCCATGAATGACAAGCTGGAAGGTATAAACCTCAAAGCAGGCCAGAGATTTATTTTTAAAACAAATATTTAATGTGATTCTAATGCATAATAACATTTCTATGCCCTTCAAACAGAACCACATCAGAGAACATCTTGGTAACATGATGGTTTCTAGAGGGGTACATTCAAAAGCCTGATGGCTAGTGTTCTTGCAATAATAAATCTTTTAAAGTAAACCACATCTTACTATTCTCTAATGCTTACTTTTAAACTTCTCATCACTAACAAAATACATCATGATTCTTCAGCCACGCTCCCTAAAATACATTGTTGCTGGGCAGCAAGCCACAAGCAAGAGGGCGTGGGCCCGCTCCCAAGATGTCCTTCATCCCACAGCATCCTGGCAGTGGCCAAACCTGGGTCCTCCCGGCCGGGGCACCCAGGCTCCCCACAGAGGAGGGCGCAGAGCAACGGGCCAGCACGGCTCGCTCCCCGCACGCGACACGCGCTTGGTGACTATGCAAGGGCCGCGGAGCACCCCTTCACACGTGAGCCCCTTGGCAGCCCATGGCGCCCTTCGGCTTTCCGATGACACGTGCCCCGGTCTGCATCTCCTGACAGGGTATTAGGCTGATCTGCCCCCACTGACGCTGTTACAAGGCAAAAAAAGTAGATATAACCTGGCCTAGGAGAAAGAAAGAAACAGGCACAAGATTTGCAAAAGACGACACATGTGCACTGAAGCAGTGCTGTGCCTGGGTCCACACATGCACCTGGTCTGACACCAGGGACACCTCGGCCACCCCATTTCCCACTGCCCCCTGGCAAGACAAGCTAAGCACTGGTGGCCTATGAGTACACCAGGGCTTCCCACCCGCTTACTACACCGGCTCCCCCCCCCCCACCGGGGGGAGGCCGACAAGGG